GGTCTACAGTGGCGGATCCAGTAATTTGAAATAGAGCTGGGCCCAGAGAGGGACTTTTACAGATGGAGAGTGTAGACCACCTCAGCCCCCCCATGGCCGGGGCTTAGGTAAGAAAATTTATGATTATGGGCACCTCTAGTTGGTCTCAGACTGAATTTGAATATATTTTAATTTTTTTCCACTTTTAATTTCGAAAAAAAAAAAAAAAAAAAAAAAAAAAAAAAAAAAAAAAAAAAAAAAATTAGGGATGGTTGGCCGACTGGGCCCCTTGAATCTCCCACTGAAATGTGACTCATCATAAAAGTTTTTAAAAATAAAATTATCCTTTTAGTCATAATTATGCCCGCTTATGTATTGTGCAAACTAATTGTGCAAACTAACCTTCATAAAAATAATGATTTTTTTATCTACTGATGCTGTAACGTATTCAAAATTCGAACCATGAAAAACAAAATAAGAAACTTAATTTAACAGTCAATAATTTAGTCGTTTTCCATGTACAGTACTTTTAAAATCAATCAAGTGGGTTTTTCTTTTCTCATTTGTTTTTAAATTTCACTTAGTGTAGGCCTAAGTAATAGCGACTAAACTATTGTGAGTGGAAATCCACCGTCTAATACGATCAAGGACTTGCACAATGGAGTAGTCACCTCAGCCCACCATGGTTGGGGCTAAAGAAAGAAAATTTATGATTATGACACCTCTAGATTGCCGGAAATGGCACTCTCAGACCTAAGTTCTAATTGTAATTTTCCTTTGTTTTTTTCCGAAGTTTTAAAAATAATTTTGAAAAATTTAGGGTCGGCTCGGCCCCACTTGAATACACCACTGATTATGACGTCATTGCGAGATTGCGTCAACGTATAACACTGGAGTTTGTAAACTTTTGGTAGGCCTATCACTTAGGCCCTAATGGAAATAGACATATCCGTGTCAAAGGCTGTATAATTATTGTTTAATAATGGTTATATAACATTCAGTTGACTAGCTATAATTTGTTGAAATTAGGATAAAACAGTAATCCTATGATCCTGTATGTAGGGCTAGATAATATTAAACACTAGCATAACGTATGGGTCACAATAATATACAAAAGGTATAAATCGTTTATAGTAGAAATTGTGCACTTTTGAGTTTGTAAAAATATTGGCCTAATAAGTATACACGCTTCCAATCATTGTTTTCACAATAAATTTAGCCTCTGATATAACCGTTGCACCCATAAAATCGATCTAGTGGTTTCTGAGATGGTTACGAAATGTATAAACAATTGCGTTTTCACTCGGTTTTGGTCCGGAAAATACGTACAGCACTATGGAAAGTGAACAGACAAAATTCATGAGTCATGCGTAATTGCTATTCTTTAAATTCGCTTTTGAAAGTGGGGATTTAATCATAGAAGATTGGTGAAAAGTGGGGGGGGGGGACAATCGATATGATGTCCCCCTACTTTGAAAAGTGGGGGGACGCGTCCCCCTGTCCCCCACCGATCGACGCCCATGATACCACCTACCTGGCAGTGGTAGCGCCAGAGGGAATGGGATGGGGGAGGGAGGGGTGGGCTGAGGGGCTACCATCCCCTCTCCCTCTTTGGGGAAGCTACCCCCCCCCCCGGTCGGGGAAGTCGAGTACATTCCCTCGGGAAACAAACAAACTAAAAAAAAAAAACATTTTTATATGTCTGTTCGTTTAGGCGAGACTTTTTTGTTTAGCGAACCCGCCGACTACAAATATTGATGATTTCGAATAAAAATAAAATTTTATTTTTGGCCAATTAGCGCACCCCACCTGCCGCCACGAAAAAGTGGAAATTTCAAAAAATTAAGTTTTTCTTTATTTTTATTACGCCCTCCGCTGCCTTGATCACTATACTTTGTCGGTTTTAGGAATTGTATATTGGTACATTGACTTCTTGAATATTGTACGGTATATATATATATATGTATATATATAGATTAAAAGGCAAAATACTGAAAAACAACAATGCTGTGGGAAACAATGGCTGGATCTCAATACAGATACAAAAATGATAAGCAATAGCTAAAAAGTA